TAGTATTGCGTATTGGTATTGTTCGTAGTATAGTGCAAAAACTGCGGCTCCCACACGGCCACCCTAAACTCTAAACCCTAAACCCTAAACCCTAAACCCTAAAGCCTAAACCCTAAACCCTAAACCCTAAGGATCCTGAATCCCGGCAAGCGGCGGAGGGCCCATGGCCACCGGCGGCCCCACGGCCACGGGAGGGCCCGTGGTCACCGGAGGGCCGCGGACCTCAGAGCTCGGGTTTGGGGGGGTTTTAGGGTTTAGGGTTTTAGGGTTTAGGGTTTAGGGTTTAGGGTTTAGGGTTCAGGGTTTAGGGTCTAGGGTTTAGTTTTTAGGGTTTAGGGTTTTGGGTTTTTGGGCTTCTCTTTCGGATTCTTTTAAGGGTACTGTAGGTTCCCCATCAAGCTACTACTTGAAAGTTACTCCCTTTGAAAGGAACCCTAGATTTCCCTGCAAGGGAATCCCATAACGCCCTTACATGTCAGTGCTCTTGTTTGAGCACCTTCTTCCGTCGCGGTCTTTTGAGATGAGGGGTTAGAGCTCTCGGGTTCTCGCGTCTAGGATTCTCGGCATTGGGGTTCCGGCTTCGGGTTCGCAGTTTAGGGTTTAGGGCTTAGGGTTTAGGGTTTAGGGTTCAGGGCCTGAGGAGTGCATCAAAGGTATCCCTATCTCTGCTCCTCGCAGACGTGGTCATTCCCGCCAGGCGGTTGCCACTTTTTTGGAAAGGGGCTATGAAGGAAAGAGCAGAACGAAACAGTGCCACTTTTAAAGTTCTTTAAGAGAATGCCACGAGGAGTCAAGTTGTGAAGGGGCTTGAGGATTTTAGGGTCTTCAGGGTCTAGGTGCCCGTATGATCCACATTCAGGTCTGAGGCGTGGCCTTCCATGTCCCTGTTACAACATGTACCGTAAGATGTAGAGGCCCTAAACCCTAAACCCTAAACCCTAAACCCTAAACCCTAAACCCTTGAAGAACTAGCAATTCAGTTCCTCAGGGTTCCGACTTAAATCTCCCAGAATTTCCTAATTACAACTGTAGTGCAATAGATGCCGAACCCTGTTCTAATTACCACTTGTTCAAGCCTTTACTTATATTGCGACCCCTAAAACCCGGACCCCCAAAAGGATCTGAAAAATAGATCCCCTAAAGGGGCTCCTATAAAGTACCCTTGAGTAGTTAGGGTCCCTAATCAGGGGATTTATTTTTTAGATCCTTTTGGGGGTCTGGGAAGAAGAGTGCCAAGCCCCGGGCAGGAGGCCCCACGGCCACCGCAGGCCCGAGCACAGGCGGGCCAACGGTGATGGGCGTAGAGATGGCCCGGCTGTACCTGACGGGGGGCTTATACGGTTTCATTAGGGTTTGGAGGTTTAAGGCTTACGTAAGGGTGTAAGGTTTCATTGGGGAATTTGGATTTTGGGGTTTAGGGCTTTAGGGTGCAGGGTTTCAGGTTTTAGGGATTTGGGTGGCACTGCTTAGAACACGCGGAGCCAAGGCATCTGACACATATCTACGTCTTGCTTCAGAGGAATTTACATTGACATGACCCTACGTACTCTAGGTATCCTAGACCCTTATTTCCTGACATGCCCTGATTTACTTTCATGTGGGGTTTGCAGGTGATGGTCTTCCAAGAAGCTTCGCAAGCCTCACAATCGCAAACAAGCTCAGGACATGTCTGACACCATCAATGCATTTCAAAGTCACAATACCCGGTTGCCAAAACTGATACAAAAATGGTATAATCTATAAGCTTGTTCATGGACGCTGCAAGTATCACCATCTCGCTTACCCCAAAACCGTGCTGTGAATCAGAAGCGAATGACATTTGAGCTACGCTGAGATGTACTGTGGGTTGGGGCGGGGAGGCGTTTCGGCTTCACCACAGATGAAAAGCATTTACGGGTTTAGGGTGGTCAGGCGTTAAGGATTACAGGGTGGACGGCTTCAGGGTTTTAACGGTTTGGGGTTTAGGTGTTGGGGTTTAGGGTTTAAGGATGTAGGGCTTAAGCCCCTTCCAGAAGCAGCGAAACCATCAAGCATTTGCCACTCGGTGCTTGTGCGACGTCATTTCCAAGATAAGCCGGCCGATGCTTCCTCCACGGACTCCACGCACCTGCAACTTCTGCATCTTGCTCATTGAGGATCGAATCTTCCATGGCTGGGTTCTTGAAGCTGAAGCAGCTGGGTCCAATGCGACGGTCACGTCACACGAATCGCTTTGAAAAATCTGCGAGAGGCGATGCTCTCTCGGGTGAAAGCTGAGGCTTACAATCCGAAGACCTGCTCGGTACCTGCCCTCTGCGCTCCCCCTCCTCGCCGTGGACCTGGACCGTCAGTGACCAATCGTCACTTTTTGGCTTGCCGGTGCATTGGCAACAATTGCCTATTCCTTGAATTCACCAAGTCTTGTTCTTGGTGGACCCGGCCTCTCTTAGATTAGCAGTGCATGCGGGAGTCTCCCTAAAGGATATATCTTATATTCACCGGGACTCTCTCTGGAGGAGCTTTGGTGGGAGAACCATAGAGAAGTAGTAGCAGCAACCATTCCGGACAATCTGGCTAAAGATCTGAGCTCTGGTCAGGGTTTAGGGTTTAGGGCCAAACCCTGCATCTAACGCCCTGAATCTTAACTGCACGCCACTTATGCACATTGTTCATGCCTGCCACGGCTTTTACGGGGCAGGATTAGCTGTGCTCCCCTTACAAGGCCTTTCTTTGAGATCCCTTTAAAGCAAGAGTCAGACACAACATCCCCACACACTAAAACATGAACAAAAGGAGCCCTGAAACCCTAAATCCTAAACCCCTCAAGAAGCTATATCCCAATCCCCGGTTTAGGGTTTACAGGGTTTAGGGCAGAATCCCAAACGCTACATCCCTGGACCTCGACATGTTCATGCTATGGGGTGGGGGGGGGTTGTCGGGGGTGGGGGGGGGGCGGGTCGTCCGGCCACAGAAACCGTCAGTAGTAGCAAGCCGGAAACCCTGATACAGGGGGAGTTGTGGGCAAATCTTGGTGCAATTGTAATAGGAATCCTAAGAATAGTGCTTGAAATTTTTCAATCTTCGATCTTGACCTGAAACCCTTATATCTGCTAATCGCATTCTATATTGCACGATTGCACCCCCAAGGAAGCTCAGGCTTGGCTTCATCAGGGCACGTCTGGGGCGATGTCCTGGCGCGTTTCGGACCACCCATCTAGGGTTCAGCGGGTTTAGGGTTTAGGCTTCAGCGGGCTTAGGGCTCAGGGTTTAGGGTTCAGGGTTTAGGATTCGGGGTTTCGGGTCAGGGGGTCCCTTAAGGGAGCTCCTACAAGGTATCCATATAGTAGAAATGGGATTAGGGTTTAGAGTTTCGGGAATTTGGGTTTAGGGTGTAGGGATTGAAGTTTAGGGTTGAGGGAATTAGGGGATCTACTTTTTTCAGATCTTTGCGGGAGTCTGAGTGTTCGGTTAGACATTCACCAAGGCGACTTCTCACATTAAGCCGAGGAGCCGAATCTGAATGAAGAAGGCCTAGGGTGAGGAGTGTCGTATTCAGACTAAACCCTAAACCCTAAACCCCTAAACGCTAAACCCTCGGACAATGCTCTACTTAAGAACCCAAAACCTACTTCTTTGTAGGGTCCCTATAAATCCCATATTAGGGTTTGTAATAAGAACCTACAAAAAAGTGGGTTTTGGGTTCTTAAGGTAGGTTTCGGAGCTGGAAGGTTGCACATGTTCTGTTCTTTGCGAACATGCTAGAAGGCCTCCCATGATTCAGTAGGTGTTCCCCAAGCCTAACGCTTGTAGACCCGAAACCCTGCACACCCGATAAACTCTAGACTAAAACTATCTCGAAATTTCTGCCGCAACTCCAACAACAACTCATGCAGCCTTCAGCTCTAGCCTCAGACGCCCAAGGTTCAAAGTTCCTACGTCAACCCAACAAAACAAGCCGAACGCAACCCTTTACTGTAAACACCCTGAGAACCCCAAAGCCGAAAAAATCCTCAACCCGCAACACGCACACACATTCCGCAAGCCCCACGGCCCTTGTCACCCATTTCCAAAGAAGATCGAAGCCTAAACCTCAAACACGCCGGCCGAACACCGTAGGCATTGCCTCGGCCGAGGGTCAATGGGTTTAGCGTAGAGGGAAAGTCAAGTCATGTGGAAAATTGAATCACATATGCTCAATTTCATGATGATGGCGTTGAAGAGTTCGAAGAAAGTTGAATCGAGAAGTCAGGGAATGGGGCTGAATTGGGGCTGAGGGTCTCAAATAGAGGGTAGGGTTTAGACTTGAAAACTTCGGATTTAAGATTTGGAGTTCAGGGCCTATAGGGTTTCTCGTTTTGGGCTTTCATGCTTCCTAGGAGTTGTCAGTCGCTCTGAGACGGCAAATTCAGGGAACGAGGCTACAGGCGTGTCCGGGGATGACGGGCCTAGGGCCTGGTCTGCAGGCACCTCGGGTTTGACAGCTTCTTTTGGAAGGATAGTCCCTAGACCCGAAACCCCAAAACCCTAAGCCTTGCAACCCTACCTTTTAAACCCTAAACCCTAAATCCCAAAACCCTAAACCCTAAAACCCTAAACCCTAAAACCCTAGCCCCTAAAACCCTGAAGCCCTAAACCCTTAACCCTAAAACCCTAAACCCTAGAACCCTAAATCCCTAAACCCTAAAGCCCCTAAAGCCCAAACCCTAAAACCCTGAAGCCCTAAACCCCAAACTGACTCTAAGCTCCCGACACTGTGCACCAATGGCACGCCCCCAGTGACTTGAAGCTCCTTCTGCACGTACCTGGGACAGAACTTCCCCGTGAGGGTTTGGGATTTGGGGCTAGGGCTCAAAGGGTTCAGGGTTAAGGGTTTAGGATTTAGGGCCAGGGTTTAGGGCTTAGAGTTTTGGCTTTAGGGCTCGGGCTCAAATGGGTTCAGGGTTAAGGGCTTAGTGTTTAGGATTTAGGGCTAGGGCTGCAAGGGTTTAGGGTCAAGGGCTTAGGGTTAAGGATCCAGGGCTAGGGGTTTAAAGGGTTTAAACGGTTTTGGGTTTAGGATGCAGCGCTAGGTTTTAAAAGGGTTTAGGGTTTAGGATTCAGAGCTAGGGTTTAGAAACTCCATGTAAAATCTGGGTCTTAATAGCTACAATAGCTTTTTTTTGGCGGGCGGGATGCTATCCGATCACAAGCTCCACAAAACTTACCATGCCAGGGTGAGGCTCAGGGGACTTAGCAAGTGGGGCTAACGAGTACCGTTATTCGGGGGGGGGGGGGGGGGGGNNCCTAAACTCCGAAACCCCTTAAACCCTAAATCGTAAACCCTAAACCCTAAACCCTAAACCCCTAAAACCCCTAAACCCTAAACCCTAGACTCCGAAACCCCTTAAACCCTAAACCCTTACACCTAAACCCCAAACCCTGAAACCCTAAACCCAAAACTCTGAACGCCTAAACCCTTAAACCCCGAAACCTTTATTCGGGGGTATATCTCTCCACTGACGATCACACCCTGATCTGGAGCTCCACATATCCACTCTTCGGGGTCTAAGGTCCCTCATCTTCGAGCAGAGGTCGGACCCTAAACCCCAAACCCTAAACCCTAAAACCCTAAAGCCCTGAGCCCTCAACACACAACCCCCTACCCTTTTTTCAAAGACCTAAACCCGCAGCCCTAACCCTAAACCTTAAAGGAACCCTTAAAAAGGAGCCCTTAAAAATGAGCCCCTTTAAAGAGAAACCCTTCATGGGAGACCCTCGCAATCACCCGAGGTCCCCCGCTCCATCTCATACCTGGGAACTTCCTTCACGGCCTGAGAAGGCGCGAACAAATCGCAAAAGGGTTTAGGGGTTTAGGGTTTAGGGATTCAGGGGTTTAGGGTTTGTTAGGGTAGGGTCCTTTAGATGCTTCCTTTCAGGGTTCTACAAAGTTTCTAGAAGGGAATTATTAAGGTTTTAGGCTCCGCCGGGTCACGCTGATGACGAGACGGCAGAAGACCTTCTGGTACATCTTGAATGCCATCCTGGGTCCTTGTTTTGGATGGCTTCTGCGAGCGAAAGAAGCAGGGCTGCAGTCTTTGCGTCCACGATCGCAAGCTTCTGCTTCGTCCTGGAGTCGCCCTGTTCCATTCCCGGCTCATGTGGGGGTTTCCGAAAATAAGGGACCCTACTATAGTACCTCAAATATTAAGATCCTTACTATAAGGACCCCAAAAAAAGGCATAGCCCTAATATTCCCATGTAGCCTGCACTCCATTGACATTGGACTGGCCGCACCGGGTTGGCTGCACTGGCGACTTCGTTTTTGAAACTCGGCCCAGACGGCGACGTTGTCTGCCCCATCCGTGAGGGAAATTTCCGAAAAGAAGGGGTACCTTTTCTTGGGGTCCTTATAATGTGGGTCCTACTATTTAGGGTACTATATGGGTAGTTCTCTAAATTGAAGTCCTTTTTTAGGTCCCCAATATAGTACGGCACCCTTATAACAAGGACCCTAAAAGGGACCCTAATTTAGAGAACCCATATTAGGGTCTAGGCCCTAAAACCTAAACCCTAAACCCTAAACCCTATTTTCTGCAACCTCCATGGGTCGATTCTGCCGCCAGTACCGGGCCGAGACCTTTAATCTCCTGCATTCTTGGCGGCCTAAACGTCCACGTCAGCTATTGCAAGGGTACCTTTAAAGGTTTCCTATAAGGGCTCTGGGTTTTAGGGGTTTGGGGGTCGATTCCTCTGTAAGATAGCAAGGAACTTTGACGAATACCAGACTATCAGTAATTATTCAGGCACCTCCGGAATACATCCCTTCTTTCTACGGCCGCAGAACAGAGAATAAAATCCGGGTTAAGAGAGTGTTATTCAATGATCTTTGCTGATCAGAGGTCTGCCTTACCCTATTCATACTCACGGGTGTTGGTCTTGAAAATGCCGCAGCAAAGCCTCCTAGGCTTGGGAGTCGGATATAGGCCGGGCTGGGGTGTTAGGATTCGAGGCCGAGGGAGCACCTGGGGGACCAGGGTAGTTGGTAAGTGTTCGAAGTCGCTTGAGAAGTACCCCAAATAGGTGTGTCCTACAGTGTACGTATACCCCTGCATATACCAAGTCGTCTCATCCTGCACCTAGACGTATTAGGCGTTAGGGTTCAGGGCTTTGGGAATGCAACCTCGAGGATCTGGGGTTCAGGGCATCCACGGCTTCCGCACCCCAAGACTTAGGATTTGGCACTTTGGACAGTCTGACTTGACTGAATTCTGTTAACTTGCCAGGTCCATATAGTGACTGACTTCCGTCTCATCTAGAAGAACCCCAGAAGGCATGCTTCATCCCCTAACCTAAAGCCGTGAGCAGTAAGCCCTGTCACACTCTCTCTCTCTCTCTCTGTCTCTCTCTCTTTGACTGACGGTTGGGAATTTCACATTTGATAAACCTGAAACGTGACACCAAGTGCGTGGCCTCAATAAATTTTTCCTGAATCGAATCGCTTCTCGGCTGTCTGGCTGATTTAAATCACGAACTTGTGAGTGAACCCTAAACCCGTAACTCCTACAGTTCCCCAAAACTACTCAACTCGGAACCGCGCCTGCTGCGTCATCTCGTTGGGCATCTCTCGAATCGCCTCGGCGACCTGTTTTCGGTGGAGAGGGGGGGGGCCTGTGGGCAAGGGCTTGCTGCCTTGGCGGTTTGAGGCCTTTGGGGTTTGAGGCTTACAGGGGTTTGAGGCTTACAGGGCCTGTAAGCTTAGGGCTTACAGGGCTGAGTTCAGAGGTAAGGGACGGAGGACTCAAAGACTGAGAAGAGACAGAGACACCAAGAACACACAAGCAGCTCTGTACGGAGCTTAGGGGGTTAAAGTTCAACTTTCGTGGTACCGGCGAGCAGCTTGAATCTTCCCTAAACCCTAAACCCTACACCCTAAACCTGAACCATCCCGAATCAACCATACCTCAGACCCTAAATCATGCAGTCTGCGGCGTGCTTTTGCCGTTCCGGACGCAGTGGTGCTTCGAGGACAGGGAGGAGCCTAGTTATGAGGGCCTTAGTAGCTAGATATGACTCGGGCTGACTACGGTTTAGGAAACCCTAAACCCTAAACCCTAAACCCCATAACTAGGAATATGTTTTGTTTAAACATGGGAAGTTCTAGGGTCCTTTTCATGCGGGTGCCGTACTATTCCGGGGACCCAAAAGAGGATCCTAATTTAGAGAACTACCCATATAGCAAGAAGCCCTATAGGCCCTATGAAATATGTAGCCAAGTCAAGGCGTTATTGCTTTAACCTTCTACAGTACAGTAGGGTGTGGGGAGTGCAGGATCTAGCGAGGAAGCTTCCTGAGGTCTTGGAGGATTAGGGTTATAGACTAAAGGGCTTCTGTTTAGGGTTTAAGGTTTAGGGAAGTCTGAAGACAGCACTGTAGGGAAAGATTCGGATGAACGACTGAGCCTTCTTCGAAAATGAGACACAAGCAAACAAAAAGAGACAGAATATACCATCAGCAAATAGATCAGCACTGTAACCCTAAACCCTGAACCCTAAAGTGCTAAAGCCCTGAAACCCTAAAACCCTAAACCCTAAACCCCTAAACCCTAAACCCTCATCCATAAAGAAAGAATAGGCACGCGCCGGCCTGTATCTCGGGCACCTCGACGATGATCTCCTGGTGGAGCACCGTGGGCACCTCAACGACCTGCCGGCTTCGAGGGGGTTTAGGGTTTAGGGTTTTAGGGTTTAGGGTTTAGGTTTAGGGTTTAGGGTTTTAGGGTTTAGGGTTTAGGGTTTAGGGTTTAGGTTTTAGGGTTTAGGGTTCAGCAGCTC